TCGACTCCCTGCTTATGTCTTCCCGGCCCAACTGTCCCCTTAGCCCCAGGGAGCAGCCTGGGCCAGATTGGAAAGTCTTAAACCCTCTACAGATACCTGCGTACGGCAGAGAAATGTTTAAGGGATTTGCGCACTCAAGCTGCGGAGCTAAATGGTCCGCTGGCTGATTTATGGCGCGTTACTGCACGACGCGATTCCCCAAGACAGCAAGAATATTTTACACCGCGCTAATATAAACAGGCGGCCGGCCGGGTCCTTTTCATGGAGTTCCTGTAATTACCCGGGCCCTGACAGGTCCTTGATTTACTGCCCTATTTAGATAAGGGGTCCGGTGCGGGGGATTGCCCATGGCGTCAAGGTCACAGGACTTGGCGGGAGAAGGTTTTGCGGTAGGCGCCGGGGTAGGGGGGCGGTGGGAGTGAGGGAAAGAGAACGGCAAAGGCTGAGGAGAGTCCCCACCACTCCAGAACATCGGAGGCTTGAAGGACCTTCAAATCACCAGGGACAGCCATTCTGCTGTACAGATCGGGGAACTAAGTCCTGGAGACTGCAGGAGCTAACCCACTCGAAATCATTTAGGGAGAGAAATGGGGGTGGAGAGCGGCATCTGTAACTGGATTTGGGGTCTCTGGCAGAATAATCCCCCCTACCTGGCTATGTTCAGTCTCCCCCCACCTCCAGCCTATGACAGCTGGGTTCTGTAAGGTCAGTGGGGGAGAGGAAGAACCCCAAGGCAGTCAGAAACAGGGTGGTCAGTTCAGAACAGAGTTCAGCAAAGAGAATCCAATGTCCAGGTCCCTTCTCCCTGTCCAAGGCTTTACAGTCAGGGTGAATGGATATAACTCCATTTTCTTCCCCTGTGAAATTAATATTCCTAAAAACTGAGCCACCATTTAACCAGGTTTACTGTTCCCATGCTAAGACCCTTGAGTATATAATTTTGCTTGCTCTTACACCAGTCCTCTACAGTGGATTATCCTCACCCCTATTTATAGAAGGGACAACAGAGGCTCAGAAGGATCTTACAGGGAGGAACAACAGTGCCCAGTTTCAAACCCAGTGGGCTTAATTCCACAGGGAAGCTATTGTAAGCACTCCTTTGAGATATATATATATATATATATATATATATATTACCTTTCTGTAGGTAAGACCTCTACTCTGTAAAATAGGGCAAGAGTTTTTGTGTGGCCTCACTAGCACAACTGGGAGAACTGAGAAACCTGAATTTGAAAATGCTAAGAACACCAAACCTGAAGGCATTCTCTAGGTCAGTGATCTTAGGTGTGTCATGGAAAATTTTCAACATCCTTAATTGTTTTTGAAAGCAGTTTAAAGCACAGTAAGTATATTCTCTCTCTCTTTTTTTTTTTGCAATCAACATAATTTAAGTGTGCCGCAGAAATTTAACTATAGGTTCAAGTGTGCTGTGAAGTAAAAAAATTGGAAAAAATTGCTGTAGGTGAACAAAGTGGGTTAAGAGGAGGCTGTAGGCAGAAGGGTGGTGGTAAGGGGTAGTGTGAGGCAGTATGGTGGGACTTTGGTGGTCCTGGTCTTTGCTCTATAGAGGTGGGCTAGAAGATAGCAGCCCCAGGAACCAGAGCACGGCCCAGGGAGAAGGAGAGGGAGAGGGAGCAGGGAGGGGTCCATGCAGCAGTGGGGAGTTGGGAATTACAGAACTCCAGACTGTCAATTCAATGTCCTTCTTCTGCAAATGGAGAAAAGGAGGCTCTGGGCTGGAAAGGAATGTACTGAAGTGCTGGTTAGGCAGAACCAGAACTCAAAGTGACAGCTCTTGCCTGTTGGCCTAAAGTAATTTCAGCCAAACTCTTAGGTCCCAGACCCTTTTCTGTAACATAGCCTGGGACCAGAAGTAGAAAGCACCCTTACCAGGTCCCCATTGTTCAGGGAGTTCTGCCACACTTCTCATGTACCTGAGCCCAGATGAAGTAAAAAGCACTTTGGGGTCTCCCAAAAGGCCCAAGTCTGGCACCTAGTCTCCCCAGTGTTCACCCTGGGCAGCACTCAACAAATAACTTCAAATTCTTCTCAGAATTAGGGAATAGCACTCTCTGCTTCATTGGTGGCTAGGGCACCTTGCTATTAAAACCTATGGGGCACTGCCAGGCATCTAGAGTCCTTAAAGAGTCTCAAAGGACTGGAACTTGTCACCCACTATTGATAATGCATTCCTTACCACACTAAGCAGTGCCATTATCTGTCTCATAAGAAAGCAATTGGCACTCACATGAATGGGTACACAAGCAATGCATTTGCATGTGGGTAATTGTGTATTCTTAAGTGAGTACTTATCATGGAGGGTGACTTGACCACATGCACACTATTTTACACTTCATTGCCAGAGTTTGTGAATGTGACTATACAGGAAAGTCTGAGAATTTCTGTCAAATTGAGTGTTTAAAATTATGTACCTGTGTGTAATGTCTACTTGTGAGCACCTGTGCATATGTAATAGAAATCATGTCTATGTACTTGTGTATTGAAGGCTTAGTTGTGACACTGAGAACATGAAATGTGTAATGGCGTTTTTGGAAGTTTGTACTGTGGATACAGTTGTGGGAAATTGTAAGAAAATAGAAACTGGTTGTACATGTGTGTAATTGTGACAGTCTTATATGTGAAACCCTGTGTCTGTGTGGTAGTTTGAATTTATGTGTTTCTTCTACATGACTGAGGTCTTTGGGCACTCGAGAATGTAGGATTGGGAGTGGCTCTGAGCTGTAACACACATCTGAAGGGGGTGTGTGTGTGTGCGCGCGCGCGTGTATATCCTGTGGGTAACATACAGATAATGTGTAGAATCCTAGGAATGTATGGATAGTGAGTGTACCCTGGACCCTGGGAGAGTGTTGCTCTGAGAGTATCTGTATGAACACATGGGCTTTCCCGCAGATTGTGTGAGCCCTTGTGTATGTGCATGTGTATATGTAATCAGAGGGCCTAGTGTGCCACTATTGGATGCTGAAGGTATACATCGTTCTCCGCTTAAGACAAAGGCTGGGCATGTGTTGAGGATTGAGTTCCTCATTCACAGACTAATTTCTCTATCCTCACGCACGCACACCCTCAAGGGCGCCTTCAGGCCCCGAAGGCGCGGGACTCCGCGGAGGCGCGGGACTCCGCGGAGCCGCAGTTGAATCCGGCGCCCGGCGCTCCCTCCCCGCGAGCCTCAGCTCTGCGCTTCGCCCAACCTCAGTGTTGCTGGCGCCAGGCGCCGGGAAGAGCGGCGCGTTTCCTGCACGCCTCGGGCAGGAAACCTGGACCTCCCTCCGCATCCCCCCATCCCCCAAGTACCTCCAGGGCCCAAAGCCCGTCCGAAGTCGCACAGGTGGAACCAGACAGCTCAGGAGTCAGCGATTGTCCCCTTCTGCCCGGTATGCATCCTCTCCTTTATTCACTTCCTTGTACAGGACTGTAATTCCACTTATCCACTCCCTATCAGACCTCGAGGGAAATTGTTCAACCTCTGTGGGCCTCATTTTCCCTATCTATGCAAGGAGAGCGTTGGCCTTTTTCTCCCTGCCTTTGAAGTAGTAACTAATTGCCAGGCATGTAGCAGTCGTCTCGTCAATAAATAATTGTTGAATGAATGGATAATGATTTGTCTTCTTAAAAGAGCGCTTTTCTCCTTTCACGCTCACCTGGAGCAAGACACTCCATCTATCCCACCAAGGGAAAGGATCGGATGGGCTGTGTAAGGCCGGGGAGGATGGAGGGACTCAGGCATGTGACCACCAGCTAGGAAGCCGCCTTGAAGGGAGGTAAGGCTGAGAGTTCCCTCCTTGAAGCATTGCCACCCAACGATTCCTAAGTTCTCAACGCGAGCCCGAGAATGGGGCCTGCAGGGAATTTGCTTAGCCAAGAGGGCTACGCAGCCGGGACTGCGCCTCCGCACCGGTGGATCTAAGACCCTGGGAGCTGCGTTTTGTTTTTCTACCCGAGCGAGCCTTGCGGATGCTGTGCAAGTGGCGGTCCTCTCTGCATGTGTTTACCACCGAACACCATGGCCTCGCAGTGTGATACTTAGCGCTGGTGCCTTTAGGGAATCGAAGATTCTCAAGGAAATATATGGGTGGAGTAGCCCAACCTAGAAGCACTGCTGGCCCTCGGTGCGATACCCATTGAGAGAGGAGGGGAGTCGCGCCTGCTAGAAGCTCCAGGGCCAAGGAGGACGCGCCGGGCTGCCTCTGCCTGGTCGGCCTTTGGACTAGATCAGGCACCCGGAAGGTGAGCACAGAACGCAGGCCCTAGAGCTCGGAACAAACCGGTAAATGCTCCTGGAGTCTGGCTCCCCTTCCCGCCCCATCCTCATCCCGGCCTCTGAAAGGCTATTTCGCTGGTCAGTTGCTGTGTCCCCAGCTGCTGGAGACTTGGCCAGAATTGGCAAGCCAGTAACGACCCCGTGCACAGACAGAAAAGGCTGATGACTCAGGAGCGGGGATGGGTGGGTGGGGAGGTGTTAGGAGTAACGCTGGGGGCCTTCCAGCCTACGACAGCGCCCTCTTGTCTTCTGGCTCAGACCGCCAGCTGAAGCTCGGGACTGGGGACTGCTGGAATTCTATTTTGAATTCTATGGAGTGTAGACTCCAGAATCTTTCTTTCCCTGGGTCTCAGTTTCCCTATCTGTCAAATTAAGGGAGGACTCTAGGTGAAGGCCTCTTTTCATTAGATGATTCTAGATTTCTTTCCTTGGATCCACAGGAAAGGGGTGGCAGCAACAGTCCCTGGCGCTCGCAGGCCTGTACCTCCAGTACGAGCCCCCGCTCCCGCCCAAGCCAGGAACTAGGGGGAGGGGCAGAGGCGGAGCTTGAGCCGGGTAGGCGTCCCCGCGGACGGCCTACTGTGGAGCTACTTTGGCTGAGCGGAAAACCTGGGACGGCCACCCCCTTTCCTACTCCTCCCTGCACCCCTGCCATTGGCTCTAGGGAGAGGTTGACATCAAAGCCGCGGCCTTATATAAGACAGATCCAGAAGGGGAGTCCGCAGAAGGGTTAAATAGGTCTCGGCCATCGGTGTCCTAGCTCTGGACAGAAACTGACAAGAAGGCAGTGGGTTGTGGGTTTCATCTTCAGCCTTGCCCGCGAATTCCTCAAAGCCAGTGCTGGCAGTGCGCTGCCCGAGAGCCCACGGCTGACTCTCGGCAGTCTTGGGGCGCATGGAGAGGCTTTAATAGGGCTGGTGGCGCAGGCCTGGAGCCGCTGCAACATGAACCTCGTGGGCAGCTACGCACACCATCACCACCACCACCACCACCCGCATCCCGCACACCCCATGCTCCACGAGCCCTTTCTCTTCGGCCCGGCTTCGCGCTGTCACCAGGAGAGGCCCTACTTCCAGAGCTGGCTTCTGAGCCCAGCTGACGCTGCACCGGACTTCCCTGCCGGCGGGCCACCGCCCACAGCCGCTGCGGCAGCCGCCGCCGCCTATGCTCCGGACGCCAGGCCTGGCCAGAGCCCCGGGCGGCTGGAGGCTCTCGGCGGCCGCCTGGGCAGGCGGAAAGGTTCAGGACCCAAGAAAGAGCGAAGACGCACAGAGAGCATTAACAGCGCGTTCGCCGAGCTGCGCGAGTGCATCCCCAACGTGCCAGCCGACACCAAACTCTCCAAGATCAAAACTCTGCGTCTGGCCACTAGCTACATCGCCTACCTGATGGATGTGCTGGCCAAGGATGCACAGGCTGGCGACCCCGAGGCCTTCAAGGCTGAACTCAAGAAGGCGGATGGCGGCCGTGAGAGCAAGCGGAAAAGGGAGCTGGTGAGTCCTGGAGCTTGCACGCTCCAGCCAAGGGTGCAGGCGTGATGAGCACCCGAAGGCGGTGCAAACAGTGAAAGGAAAGGAGGCTGCGTTGCCGGGTGAACAATTTTGGAAGGCTGCGGGAAGTTCTGAGATGGTTACAGCCTGTGACTGTGTGCATGGTGGGAGGCAGATTCGTAATTGAGTTCATTTGTAACGTGGGATGATGTTTGTAAAACTGCGTGAACACTAACTCTTAACCCTTTCAGATATCTTAGGGCAGACAGATAGGGCAGCCTTTAAGAATCTGTTGAAATCCCGGGCCCTGGAAAATGCACACACCACATGCAATATTTTGCTTCCAATTTGGAGGAGTCCTGATCCATCCCTGGGCTCTTCCGTAAACCAGGTTAAGAGTAAGTATAGGAATTTGTTGCTTTAACTTGAGGGTGAATTTATGTGCATCAGCTCAGTTATTGTTTTAAAGGGCCTTTGCTGGAGACGCCAGCCTACTTCTATCATTGCACAGAAAGGGAAACTGAGGCCCAGAGTCAGGGCATGAAGGGCAGGGCACCTACCGAATGAGTCAGAGATGGAGCTGGCATAAAAGAGCTCAGGTCTTCTCCAAGTCCAGAGTGCTTTCTGCTGCTCCACACCTGGTTCTGAGGACGACCTGGATGGCTTTTCCTGTAAATAAGCAAGAGCCAGTTTCTGCTTTGGAGATCGTAATTCCTTTTTGGCTTTTCTTGATCCTCTCCAGTGCGGCCGACGCTTACTGGCGCTAGGTTTCTCTGCCCAGGGCTTTGGGGACCTCTGAATACGATGATTTCCAGGCTGGCCAACTAGTTTCTCTAGGTTGATGCGCTCAGGGCCGCAGCGCTGTGTAGCCAGACGAAAAGCCTGGCGGGTTTTTTCCTGACCCGCGGGGCCTCGTGGTAAAGTAGGGAAAGCTCACACAGGGACACGAGGAAAGACAGATAGGCACTTAGGCTCTAAATCGCCGCCTGGGCTGGGGGAGATGCAGGCCCTGTTGGCTCCGAGATCCAAGTAGCTATTGGGCGGATCCCGATCCCCACAGCACGTCGCCGCCGCCTTCAAGTAGCTCAGCCTCGTTCAGGCTGGGGGAGCCTGGTAGGAGGACTCTAGGCTGGGCGGACTCCCGGGATCTGTCGCCTAATCGTCTGAGCTCACAGCGCTGGATCGAAAAGGACCCAACCGCGTTTCTGAGCCCCTATTAAACTAGGTTGGAAAGCCAGTAGGATGGGGGTGGAGGGGGCGAGCGCGAAAACTGTAGGTTCCCACCCCTTTCATCCCAGACCCCTGCTGCCTCCCTTAGGTGCCATAAAGCAAAACCAACGCGTCAGTTTCACCAGAAAATTCTCATTACCAAACCTCTCCAAGCTACCCAGCCGATCCCGGGTCCCAGGAACTTGGCGCATAAAGGCAAATTTATGAGCCTGTTTGCCTATTTCGCAAACAGAAATCCGTCACTTATTTAAAGGCTCCCAGTTACTGCTCCTGACACCTTTTCCCCCACCCCACTTCACGCCGGGCGATTGGAGCAGAAAAATTAAAACCTGTCTCTTTCGCCTCTTTTCTTGTGTGTGTCCCTTGGCAGCAGCAGCATGAAGGCTTTCCTCCTAACCTGGGCCCAGGCGAGAAGAGGATTAAGGGACGCACCGGCTGGCCGCAGCAAGTCTGGGCGCTGGAATTAAACCAGTGAGCCGAGGCCCGCGCCGAGGACCTGGCTATGGCTGGCCAACCCCAGAACCGAGAGGAGAGGAAGCGGCCAAAGAGAGCCAGGCTCTGGGTTTCTGCGGCGTGCGCGAGCCTTTCGCCTAGCCTTTGCTGAGCGTTGGCAGGTCGTCGGCTGCAACCACACTCGGATCGCACGTGCAATGTCATTTGAAATAGTTTTTAATACATTAAGAGAAAGAAATATATATATATATCCACCTCTCCTAACCCAGCGCGGCTCTCAGCGCCACGATGCAAGAGGGAGGGACTGCTGAACCCAAGTGCAAAGACACACCCTTCCAACCCTTCTGGGGCGAATTCGAACTTCAATGCCTTTCCCATTCCGCTATCTGGCTCTCTTTCTCTTTTGAACCTCCTTCAACTTGGTGTCAAGGCCTCCGACGCCCCCCTTATCTAATTAAAATGCAATAAAGAATCAGTAGTTTCTTGTCTGGGAAAGAGAACCTAAAGCAGGAAGATGATGGGCTGCTCTTTGTTGTCATTCTCCTTCCAATAGTGTGTTTTTAAATTTTATTTTTCTTTTTGTTGCTGCACTTCCTATTTAGTTTCCAGGGAAATGTTTTCTCTCTTCCTTTTTCTTCCTCCCTCCCTTCCTCCCTCCCTCCCTTACACCCTTCCTTCCTTAATAAAAGCTTTTCCCTATGTTGGAAAGTTTTTATGTATTTAAACTACCTACCGCGCCTATTGTGCTCAGGTGTTCGTTTATCCTCCATCCCCATCCCTTTTCTACCTCAAATCTATATGACCACTCACAGCCCCCTCCCTGTGCCAAAGCAGTATCTATGCTCTTGACTAATAAAAAGTTTTCTGAAATTGCCTGAAGCCTGTGTGATATCTCAGCCCAGATACTCCATGGACTCCATATTCCTACTAGGTGGAAATGTTTGTGTTTCTGTTCATTCTCTTTTTTCACTTTTCTTTCTTTCTTTCTCTTTTCTTTTCTTTCTTTCTTTTTTTTTTTCTTTTGAGACAGTCTCACTTTGTTACCCTTGGTAGAGTGCCGTGGCGTCACAGTTCACGGCAACCTCCAAATCACTCTTGGGCTCAAGTGATTCTCTTGTCTCAAGAGTCCCAAGTAGATGGGACTATAGGTGCCCACCACAGCCCGGCTACTTTTAGAGACAGGGTCTTGCTCTTGCTCAGGCTGGTCTTGAATCTGTGCACTCAGGCAATCCACCCGCCTTGGCCTCCCAGAATGCTGAGATTACAGGCGGGAGCCACCAACCCAGCTGCTTCTCCCCTTTTGATAAATACCAAATCACTCTCCTAATCAAGTTAAGGGAAGGGAATAGAGAAGGATTTCTTTCTAGAACAAAGCGCAACTTTCTCCTTAGTGTATGGGAGTGGTGGTGGTGGAGACAAGGGAACTTAAGGGAACTGGAAGAAATGAAAACTGGAAAGGAATTACTTGACACAGAGGCCAGGCTCCGATTCATGTGGGCCGGTGTTTGCACTTATCTTGGGATTAGTATGCACACCTGGGTCAGCAATCAGTGGTTTCAAGGGGTTATAGGGAGAGAGGAGAACCTACCACACAGATGAACAGCATCCCCAGGCAATGAATATGCTTGTGTGTATGAAATTCTTGCCCAGGAATATGCTTGTGTGTATGAAATTCTGAACTGATAGGTGTACATGAGACAGTACAGCAACTCATAGGGCACCTGTGACTGTGTAGGGGCTAAGGAGGGTCTGCTGAGCACAGCTCTAAGCAGGCAGTAAGGACTCCACAAGTTGCTGTAGCTGGTATTATTATTTTTATACTTGAATACAACAAGCTTGTGAATACTGATGGTTAAATTGAGGCACTTAAGTTTCTCTCTTGCAACAAATCACTCAAGAAATGTTTGTGAGAGCATATAGATTTGGAGCAAAAGGATGGGGTGCGTATGTGTATGTGCCAGAGAGTCCATCAGTCCTTGTGTCTTCACAGGCGTACCCATGGCTGAATGTGGGTGTGAATAAATAAAATTTGTCAAGGGGCTCTGACGGTGTCGGGCTAACTGGAGCGTTCAACACCGTCCAGTTTGTGTGTCCATGAATAACAATAATATTGTACCATTAGTTTTGTTTGCAAGGGCTGTGTGCTCAGCCCTCCTCTGTGTCTTAACAGCTCCCGTGATTGCCCGAGGGGACGCCCGCTCTGCAGTGCTCGCGCGCTCCTCACCGCTCACTGCGAAGGAGGCGAAGGAGGGGGCGAGACGGGCGAGCGAGCGTCCCTTGGCATTTTCGTGCTCCACACCTGGAGCTGCAGCTATGGGCTTGGAGACCAGAAAAGAGACCCCTGGTAGCTCCAGGCCAAGGCCTCGAGGGGTACCAGGCGTGCCCCAGGCGCCTCATCCCAGCATCAGAGTGAATATGGGACCCCATTAGCCTTGGCTGTAAACACCGTGGCAGGGGCTGAGAGGCCACGCGGGCCTTTTCGGACGCGAAGGAGTTAATAAAAGGTGTTTTACGGGCTCGAGGAAACGGTGGGGGAGGTGTGAGCTTCTCTTTAAGCTCGCCCCCCCCTTTTCTTCTTTTTTCCTCTCACCACCCGCCGCCAGATCAAACAAGCCCGCGATTTAACTAGGGCAACACCTCGCTGTAATGAGCTGGCCGAAGCACCCCTTTCCCGGCCTCAGTAGCGGGCCCCAGGCCCCACTGCCCCTCCGGGAGGAGCAGGAAGAAAAACCGAAGTTTCTTTCTTCTTCTTCTTCTCCCCCCCCCCACCCTTTCCAAGCTCTACCGCTTTTTTTTTTTTTTTTTTTGCAGTTTTTGGCCGGGGCTGGGTTTGAACCCACCACCTGCGGCATATGGGGCCGGTACCCTACCCCTTTGAGCCACAGGCACCGCCCAAGATTTGGGAATTCTTTTAGAAAATTTGCAACGCTTAGTGAGCGAAGCCAAGGAGAAAAGCAATAGAAGTCCCACAGCACAGACAGAAACCTTATCTAGATTCGAACCCAGGACTCCAGCTTAGCTCACACACAAGCTTCTGGCTATATGCAGGTCCCAGCTCCCGCAACTATTTTTAGCATACTGAAGTATCCTAGGCACGGGAAGAATGCGCCCGGGTCCTGCTTTCTTATAGCCAGAGAAAGGAGAGGGGGTTCTGAGGGGCACAACCTGGCAGCCACAGCCAAGTCTGGCATAACCAGGCTTCCTCAGAAACCCTCATCAGGCTGGGCCCAAACCCTCTGCGGGAAGAGAGCAGTGGAGCCCTAAATTCAGTGATGTCAGTTTTGAATCCCAGACCCAAACCTCTAAGTTGAGTCAGGGAACCGCTGCTCAAGGAGAGGTCTCCCCAAGCCTTGCTGCAGCCAGTCAAACGCCCAAATCAGTCCCCAGCTCTCCTCAAAAAGCTGAACCCAGGGACAGAAACAGAGTCACTCCAGGTTTCACAAACCAGGCTGTGCAGGCCAAAGGTCTCCAGACTGGAGATCTAGCCCTTGTCATTGCCACAAGGCTTCTGGGCTTCTGTCCCTCTTCAATCTTTCCTCCTACAAAAGTATCTTTAGAGCCTGTTGTTTACTTTTTAATTCTCTACCCAGATTTCAACACGGTTTGGCAGACACTTCACAGGCTATGGCAGAAGCAGTGTTATTACTTATGACTTTTGAATTAAGGAATCATCTTTTTTGTAATATAGGGAAAAAATGGAATGGTCACGAACATAAAAGTAAAATCCAGGAGTTTCATAAGGAAATGCTCACTGATATTACAAAGGTTCAACTACAGGACTGTTCTTAAAAAATGAAAAAAATAGGAAAAGTTATAGCACTCTGATGTGCTATAATTAACAGAATCGCCTAAATAAACCTACCAGTACAGGAGGTTCACTACTCAGCCATCAGGAAAAAAATGTGGCACTTGACATGGAAATTTTTCATGATATAGTGGAAAAAACCCCTCTCATGTTACTAAACACTGTCCATTGTAACTCCCTTTGTGTATAAATAAATAAATAAGCAAACAAATATCATTCACGTAGAAAAGGTGGAAGAATATACATCAAAATATTTACACTTGAACCTCTGACTTGTGAGATTAAGGTTAATTTTTACCTTTCCTCTTGCTTAGCTATATTTTTCTCAATTTTAAAAATAATGAATAAGTATTACTTTTGCAATAAAAATTAAGCTGTAATTGCCTTCTAATTTCTTCTGTTGAGAGGGTACTTTTAGTACCCTATTCAACATACATTTACTGAGTGCCTGCCATGTACTAGGTGCTGTGGGGATAAAGACAATGAATTAGAACGGATCCTATTAATGATCCTCAGTTAACATACTATAGTAAATATTTGTCTCAAAGAGCTTTATTATTTCTTCCACACACCAAATTTAGTCTTTTCCTATCCACATTCAAAACCTATTGGCAAACGAACTAATAATAGTTAAGTATATACAGCAAACCATTTAAACCCTTAGCACGCATTATTTCATGTAATCCTCACAGGATTCTATGAGGTCCATATTGAGGCAGTTGAAACTCAGAGAGGCGAAGGACTTTGTTCAAGGTCACATAGATGGTAAAAGGCAGATTGGGTTTGGATTAAAATGCAGGTTTGGCTGCTTCCAGAGATGTGGTTTTTCCCTACCTCTGGGAGCACTGCTGAGGGGCACATATGTGTATGTGTGTGTGTGTGTGTACACACATTGTACCCCAAAACAGCTGCTTTCAGTCTGATCTTCCTTGGTCCACAAAGTAAGGCAGAGATAAAAAGAAGGAAGGAGTTATGTGAAGGACTCTGGGATTCTAACTCTAGCCTTTCCCCAGCACCCTCTTCTCCCTTCAGAGGTGGATCCTATCTATAAAACGAGGAAGAGGGTAGTGTCCAAGATCTCCAGGATTTTTCCTGTTTGTAACATTCTGATCCCAGAAGTCTATTTTCTCCCGGTGAAAAACTCAGCATGTGATACTTTGCAGCAGCCTCTGGTGTTTGCAGAGCACATTACCTCCGTTTTCCTCCTATAAGCACATTTTCCTCCCTATAAGCTAGAAAGGAGTCAGGGCAGAAATGATGTTCCCCATGGACAGATGGGGCAGAAAGGCTCAGAGAGTTGATGTGACCAGCTCAGAGTCACAAGGCCAGTCAAAAATTGAGCAGTCAAAAATTGAGCGGGAAATAGCAGGCAAGTCTGCAGGCTTCCAGCCCAGGGTTCTCTTAGATAAAAGCGCTGGGT